AGACACCACTGTATAATTCCCTCCAGTCTGAAAAATAACCATTCACCCTCTACTTTCTGTCTCCTAGCCAATTTCATAACCAAGCTGCCACTATCCCTTTTATCCCATTCAGAATTGTAATTAAAGTATAGAGACTAGAGGGAGTCAGTTTAGTACTCACATAAGAGATAGAACAGACATGATATTGTTATGCAATATTGCTTCATGATGCACAGAACACTTGCTTTTCACACTTACCCCTTTTCATGTACTTTAAATAGAGGCATTGGATCAAGAATTGAATCATTGGATTGTGTTTAGGAGTTAAGTACCTGCTGGATGCAAGTTGGTGTTCTGATGCTAGCTATGTATGGAGGGTCCTTCTTACCTATCAACACAGTGGCAACATCGATGGGAAGACATGTGGGCTTGGAATGATTTAAAATAGAGCCATACACAAAGACAATTTGGAAAGAATTTGGATGGTATTCATATAGAGTTGGGGGTGGAGGTAGAGAAAGAGAAAAAATATGGCTTTTGTATCTTTGGCAGTTGTGAACTCAATGATTTTTTAAAAAATAATCATCTTTTGCCCACAAAATACACAGTCAATCCACTTTATAATATATTCTGTGAAGCACTTTGAGATGTCTCAACAATGTGATAAGGTACTATATCAAATGCAAGGATTATTATTATCATAAAACGAAAATGATTAAAAGTAATTGGACTTTAATTTTCTAAGTTTCAATTAAAGAAGATTGTAGCCAAAGGAGGCTCCTGCCCACCATAGAATATCAGTGTCAATTGGCATCGGATTGGAGTCAGAGTAGGTCAGCCTCTGGGAAGCTGCACAATTTCTTAGTTATGAACCGATTCATATCTCTCACAAATTGGAGCCCACTATCTAACACTGTGAAGAGGTGCTGTCCTTTAGATAAGATGTTGAACCAAAATCCTATCTGCCTGTACAAGCGGACAGTACAGATTCAATGAATTTCTTCTGTAGTCCTGGCATATAATCCTCCAGATAAATTGAAGTGTAACTCATTTCACAGCTGATGGTGGACCAGCGATGTGTAGAAATTGGGTGCTGGGTTAGCCTACAGGCACAGAGTAACTGCACTTCACAGCAAATATCTTGTGAAATACTTTGAGATGTTTCAATGTTATTTAAGTGCTGCATCACAGTGTAACTTTTTTTTCAGGAGTGAAATTACATTGAACAAAAAATGACACTTGTAATATTGGAACTCTTCAAATTCTAGTACATGTAAGTATTAAGTAACAATGTGCTGCATTTATCCGATCTTAGAAGTTATGAAAGGGACTGGAACTTATTTGAAGAGAATTATAGAAGAAAATGTAGCATAATTTTAGGAGAGATTGTCCTACAATGTGTCTGTGGTTCTTTAAAAAATAAAAAAAAGGGTGATATGTGACAGACGTTCAACCTTATATTCAACCTTACATGATATTAAACCTTATAGCTTACCACATGAAATTTTACTGAGATAGAAAAATCTTTTATATCCAAAATATCATCATTTACTTAATCACAGATGCCTGACATTTCTTCTGATCTAATGGTACACCACAAGCTGTATAAAGAAACCCTTCAAAAATGTCAATGAAGAACTTTCAAGTTTGTAATTGATTGCAGCATCAACCCCAGAGTTGGATGTATTGTGTGTGGCGGGAAGCTGAACATTCAATGAATAATGATAGAAGAGGCATTCACTTGGGACTAAAGTCAGAAAGGTGAAGTATTTAGTTTCAAGCAGTCAGCGACTACAAACAGTACCTTGATACATTTCAGACACAATAATTAGGTTTACTCAAAAATGAATTTGTCTATGTCTATAGGAATAGCAAGTCATTGGAAAGCTTCATAAGTTTGCAAAATCAATTCAGGAGCTACTCCGTAATCCTTTGGTTGGCAGATTCCACTTGTTCCGCATCCTGCGGCGGATTAATTTTGAGATCCTTATTTAAAATTTCTCCATAGCCCTGCTTGCTTTGGCTGTTTAATCCTCTCTAATCCTATGTCCCAACCTGCACTGTAATCTCTATGATTCCAGTTTGTACCCCACTACCTTCACTCCATCATTGTTGTTTACCTGAGCCGTCAACTACCACTGATCCCTGGAACTCTTCACAAATCACTTTGCTTATTATCTCTAAGACATCTAAACATGTCTTAAATAGCCAGAAAGCTTTTAGTTGATCACATTCCACTATAAAAACTGTACTCAGGAAGCCCTTGATATTTTCCTTGGCCAATTGGAACTCAGGGCTCTATTTAACTTGAAAATGCAGAAGAAAGTTACTATAGAATACAATATACAATTTATTTCAATAAAGTATCTTTCACATTACGAGGATATCTCAAGGCACTTTACCTGGCTGGGCACCTAAGTTCTGGGGGATTTACTATCAAAGGTATTAACAAAAAAGTGTAGTGAATGTGAATTTGTAGGTTTATAAGTGAATGTAGCAGCCAATTTGCTCACAACATTCTTAAAATTGTTATGGCGTGCCTAAAAGAATTTATAGAAAAATATCTTCAGAATTAAGGCTACATTTAAGAATTTGTCAAATGTTGCATGCTCTAAAGTACTAGATAGAATAAATTTAAACCCAGGTACAAGTGAATCTTAATGTCCTGGGAAAGAATTGTCCAGTAAAAGTCTTGAGAGAGAGTTCCCTGGAACTCAACTTCCGCAGAGGTGAGGAAGACCATGTAAATAGTGTATTTCCAACTTGGGAGGGTGATGAAGAAAATTTAGCAGTATCATCAATAGGTTGAGAAGGGCAAGAAAGGTTGCTTTCACTGTGGGAAATTACCAGATTCTTCATTAGCATCTTACCTGGCTGGATAACTGAGACTGGGAGCTAATTAATGAAGGCAACCAATCCGACTTGCATCTTATTGTTAATAATTAGTGAATTTTTCACTAAATGAAATTATCTAGGGAGAAGGTGTTATTCCTTTCTCTCACTGGGGGTAAAAAAAAATCAATTTCTGTGCTTGTTTTTTTAGACTGAAGGACATGAGCTCCCAATAGAGTTGTTAATGTTTTATTATGCATGACAGAAACTCGTTTAGAATTTCCTTTTATTCTGTTCAACAATCAGTCAATTAAATGCACAATATATAATCCAATCTAATGATATGGATGGGTCCCATGGTGGGTCAGTGGATAAATTCACTGCGTGGCCCAGTACATAACTATGCAGGCCCCGGTACATGTTTTATCCCTGGTCTACTGAGATACTTCAACTTAACTGGAGCAGCAGTGAGAACACTATTACTGACCCAGTTTCCATGGCCCATGCACAGAAAAAGTCTGCCAGGCTACTTTTCTTAATCACAATCTCATAACCTTTACAGGAACTTCATCCCACGGTCCCTTCGCCTCGCTTCCTCTGTTGCCTCCTTCAAGGCCGATCTCAAGACCCTTCTCTTCGACTGTGCCTTTGGTCTCCCTCCCACCTCTCTGCTTTCCCTCACCCCTACACCACCTCTCCCCCATGCTCGGGCCCCGACATCTGACTGTTCAGCACTTTGGGACGTCCTCCTGACATGAAAGGCGCTCTATAAATGTAATTTTGTTGTTGTTGCTGTAAACACTAGATCAGAACATGGTGTTGGTTTGGGCAAACAGGACCTCGGCTTAACATCTCACCCAAAGGACAGCAGCTTAGAAATTATCCCCTCCCATACTATATTGGAGTCAGTCTGGACTATAAGTTCAAACTCTTAACATGGGGTTTGAACCTACAACCTTCTGATTCAGGGGTGATCCTACCAACTGAGCCAGGCTGACCAGGCCAGAATAGATAGCACGATGGCACTGACTTCTTAGGTTTGAACATAATGTTTAGTCACTTGGTACGAGAGGGAGTTTGCAAAATCTACCCCAATTTGAGTCAGTGCCTTTGGATGAAAAAAGGCAGAAAATTGTAGGTGTTGAGGAAAAGAGCCACTGGGGTCCATCTAGCTATAGAAGTAAAAAATATAAAGAATGCTGCACTGTTCTCTTTCTTTTACACACCACTCAGTTGATCTCTGCCAACAGCTATCTAATTCCCTCTTGAACTCGCTACCCCAATCTGACAAAGGAATAAAATCAAGTGACAATCATACAAACTAAGGCTTACAATCTGTCCATGCAGCAAAAGGAAGGAATAATAGTGACAAGCCATTAGTGCAGTGAAGCCTTGCATATACTGATGAAGTAGTACAGGTTACACAGTGTAGCTGCTTTTATTCTGTACCCTTTGCAGTAGATCAATTAGGGAAGCAGTGAGAGTTAGTGGGCATGTGCTTATATCTGTCTCTTTCCATGTGTTCACAATGGGATCCCAGGTGCTTCAGTATGTCTCCACAACTCTAAATCTGTTTCCTGCCCAATTACTTAGTCTCAATTCCATGAAGGATTTCAAAATACCCTATGTCAAACCGAGGATGATCCGGAATGGCTTCTTTAGCTCAGTAGTATAGTTACATTTATATACGTTTCCAAATATGTTATCCACCCACACATCTTGAAAGGAGCTAGATGCACCACTGTTTTAAGATTTAGGCAAATCCACTTCCACTTGGCTGGTATTATTTTAGTTCTTTGGTTTCTTGTTAACATTTGACAACTCGGTAATTAATTTCCTAATCCAGCCAGTCTTTTCTCTGTTCAGGTGATGTCTCAGAGCACATAAGACTCCAACCCTGCCCGATTCCAATATTAGCTATTGATCAAATCTAATAATATTTGTTGCATTTGATATCGTGTCTTTTCATGTGGGGAGAATGTATCAAAGTGCTTCACAGGATTTACTGTGAAGTGTAGTGGCTGTGTATCTTGCTGGTGAAATTAATGGGTAGAGCTACTTTCAACGTCTGAGAGGCGACGCTACAAAAAATAACAGTACTCCAAACAATTACATTTCACATTTGAACAAAATGAATGAAAATAACATAACATTTTTAAAATAATTTTTAGCCCCCCCAAATTACCTACCTTCTTGTGCTACTTCCCAAAGGTCAAATGCTACTCTGAAGGCCTGAGCCACTGTTAGGGTCACAGCTTGTGCCTGGAGTAAAGCAGAAAAAAAGCCAATGGCCATTATTCAATAGACACCATAGAAAGAAAGAACTGGAATGCACCTGATTCATTTCTGGCATCCAATTGATTACCAGCATCTGTGTGAGCAATTCCATCAATTTCCTGCCAAAATATCAATTTTCTTTTAAAAAAGTCATCACAAAAGTGGCCTGAAAATGGCTATATTTATTACAAAATATTCTGATCAATAAAAAACTAATATGAGACCAGTGTGTCACTGCTGGCTTCATGTTATAATTGATGTAGCTTCAAATGTGTCCAGTACACAGGGTATCAGATTCAATGTGAAAAGGAAAGCATTCCCAGCCAGTCTGTTCCTGTAGTGAAGCAAACAGTATTTCTATTTTTAATATGTGTAGGTCACAGGTCCAGCTTTGGGATTTCTGCCCCTACTGTGGACAAAAGAAGAATCAAAATAAATTCTGCAACTGTAGCCTATTTGCAAGGACTCAAGCGTTTTAAAAATCCCTATCCTGGAAATTTTGAAAGAACAACGTGAGTGTGAGAGAAACGAGAGCACAGTGAGTGAGACAGTGGGAGAGAGGAGGAAGAATAATTGTGAGTGTGACAGCAGGCGAGAGGCTGGAGAGCAATTATGAATGAGTGTGATCGTCAATTTCATTTAAAAGGCATTGGGCTTAAAATGACAAATAGAATTCCAAATATGTACTCACCAGTGATCTAAATAAAGGCAGAATAAGTTGTTTTGACTAATAACCAAATGCGCTTGAGATTCATGGACCAGAAATAATGAAAGAAAGCTTGAATCCCACCTTGGCTTATATTTGTACTTGGGTTGACAAGATTGCAATGCTGTGTTTACACTGCTGGGAGCAAAGTGGGTAGCCTAGTTTTAACTCCCCTTCCTGTTCTACACCATTACATTATAATAATAATAATAATAATCCTTGCATTTGATATAGCGCTTTTCACGTCGGGAGGACGTCCCAAAGCGCTTCACAGAATAGACTGTAAAGTGAATTGACTGTATATTTGTGGGCGAACGCGGCAGCCAATTGCGCACAGCAATGTCCCACAAACAGTCGTAGATTGAAAATGACCAATTTATTATTGTTTTTGTTTTGGAGGGATTATTATTAGGCTCTGTGTGGAGTAAGGAAACTTGCCCAAGGTTTCGCCCTGCCTGGAATTGAACTCAGGTCTCTCGCTTGCAAAGCGAGTGCTCTAACCACTGAGCTACAGGACTCCAAATTGGGGTCATTACATTACATTGGGGATGTTCACAAAATCTTGATATGAAAATTTTACACATGCGCAGTGCAGATCTCTGGAGTCAGATTGTATAGGTTTATTTGTAATGTTATTTAGTCTTGTGATCTTCTCATTAATAACCTTTATAAAATGGTCCAATGAAAGGACTTCAAATGACCATTGGGCTGTCACACTAGAGCAAGAGGGGAGCGAATTCAGGTCGAATTGCACTTGCTGAATTTACACAACAGGAAGTGTGTAACAGGGTGCTCCTGAATTCACCTGCTAGTGACTTTTAGCCTCCCCCCACCCTCACATCCGCACCACAACTGGCACCGCCTTCCATCACCTCCGGAACATCGCCAGACTACGGCACTACCTCACCCCTCACGCTGCTGAAACCCTGGTCCACGCCTTTGTCACCTCAAGGCTGGACTATGGGAACTCTCTTCTCGCCGGCCTTCCCGGCACCTCCCTCCACAAGCTGCAGGTCATTCAGAACTCTGCAGCTCGTGTACTGTCCCGCACCAGGCTTCGGGACCACATCACTCCCACCCTCGCTCGCCTCCACTGGCTCCCCATCCCCCAGAGGATTGATTTCAAGATCCTCATCCTCACCTATAAGGCCATCCACGGCCTTGCTCCCTCCTACCTCTCTGACCTACTATCCCCCTACCTACCTGCCCGTACCCTCCGTTCCTCTGACTCCGGTCTGCTCCACATCCCCCGCCCCAATCGCCCTACCATCGGTGGTCGGGCCCTCAGCCTCTCAGCCGCCAGGCTCTGGAACTCCATCCCCCAGTGCCTTCGCCGCCTCCTCCCTTTCCTCCTTCAAGGCCGGTCTCAAAACCTTTCTCTTTGACCGAGCCTTCAGCTCCCCTCTCGACTCGCTTCCCCCTCCTCGCTCCCTCCCTTCCCTCCCCTCACCCTGACCATTCCCCCCTCCTCACTCCCTCCCTTCCCTCCCCTCAGCCTGACCATTTCCCCCTGCATGGGTCCTGACCCAGCTGTGCAGCGCCTTGGGACGTCCTCCTGACGTGAAAGGCGCTTCATAAATGGAATCTTGTTGTTGTTGTTGTAGTGGTAATAATAAGAGTGCATCTACAACATAATTCACTGGCTCAGCCTGATTCATCATGAAAATCTGCCAGCAAGTCCCTGCCAAAATCATGTGATATCAACACAGTATGCATTATTGATCACAGGTAATTCCTCAGGCACAACAGCAAACAGATGGTTGATGTCAAATTGACAGAAAGGCGGAAAGGAAAAGATCCAGGTAATCTCAGACTTCATTTCAACACTCTACTTTCTGATCACACTACATGACTAGTGTGGAGATTGTGTGTGTTTTTTCTCCAAGGCAGAGTCTTGGGTGTGCATGTCTACAGGATATACCGTATAAAGGAGAGAAACCTTTATGCTCAAAATATGTTGACATTTATTAAAGTAAAAAAAATGGTAACAGTGCTGACTGGTAAACCAGACAGTCATGTTTCAAAGCCCCAGATACCTATCATTCAGTTCTGTTTCACTTGATTCTGTGAGATCCTTGCAGTGGGATCAGACGTGTGGGTTTTTTTGTGACTGATCCCCTATTGCCAACAGCTCATTGACACTCATTGGCTGTTTCACTCCATTTCTGAATTCTTTATAACCTATGTTGTACATTATCCTGTGTATTCCTTTTTAAAGGGAAAAGTTAAATTGATCATTTCAAAAATGCAGTTCAGCAAATCATATAGTGCCCTTTATGTAAGATCACATCTTGGAGTAATTCACAAGGACAGGTCTAGAGATCTAGCAAGTGAGAAGTGGGAGGTGGAAGGTGACTGTAAGTGAAGTACATTTTTAGGAGGATTTAAAACAGGGACAAGACAAGGGGTAGAGGAGGGAGTTCCAGAGGCTCAGCTACACATGGTGGTTCAGAGATGGCAGGGAACAAGTAGCAAGTTAACCAAGCAGAGGGGGCAAATTGAAATTGGGCTAACTTTTGCCCATTTTTCTTACAACCATATTTGTTCCCCAAATCACATGCATAATTTAGCCATTACTCTGGGTTGCCAAGTGTGCATTTTTCATTTAATTCAAATCATTTTGTCACACAGTGGCACTTAACACAATGCTGAAATTGAACGAAAGCTATTGGGAAGAAATAAAATCAATGGGCGAAGATTTTGGAGGAAAATTAGTTTTCATAAATGAAACTGAACGGACTATGCAAAAATCGCAATAAAATTGCTGCTCGTTCCTGGTCAATTTGATCAAAATAAATCTCACAGGATTCAATTTCTTGCCTAATTGACTGCATATTTGCGAGCTATATAGCACTGCTAACCCTGTCATATTCATGTCACTTCACTTGCAAAAGAGATCGCTCTTCACTGCTGGAACATTTATTTATTACAAATGCCACCATTAATCTTAAGGAAGGGAAATAAAGTGTGGATTCGCCAGAAAATGCAGAATTCTGTAACTTACAATTTTTTTCTTTGGACAGAGATATGCATGGCATTCCAATGTCTCATTTAGCTGGCTCTGAGCAATGTATGCAAAGACCTTGTCCTGAGTCTTGTCTGCAGTGCAGTACGATATTCTGTGGAAAGAGAAACACTAATGATTAGATTAAATATATTTATTCAGCCTTTTTCAAACACATTTTAAGGTCACATTTTATTGTTACTCACTAAAATTGGTAGTCCTTCAAACAAAAGTCACACGATCCGATTACTAGCAACAACTACTTGCATTTATACAGCGCTCTTTACATGGGATAGCATCATCATGGAGCACTGAGCAATGGTGGAATGTGACACTGAGTCAAGGAGAAAGTGGCAGTGATGGTAGGCATGGATAAAGGGGAATGTCTTCAGATGCAATGCCTCTCAAAAAAGAATATTGGCATCCAAGAAGGATTCTAATGCTCATATTGCTAGATGGCTGCCGGTTAGAGCAAACACAAGGTAATTCTCTGTATGGATTCAGGTAATCCTCTGTACAGCATGAAATACTGCAAGACTTAAGCGAGGACCTAATTTCCAATGGATTTGGAATCTCAGAGCTCTGTCTGATACACAAGGGGATTCTCTGGAGAAAACTCTGTTTATGTCTCGGGTGTTTTCTGGGCAAACAAACATCGGTGACGCAGCTTATTAGAAGTCCCTTAACTGCAACCACAATAACTTCATTCATATAGCACCCTTCAAATAGGATAACGTCTGCTTACAGTGGTGGGTTTGGATGTAGAACAAGATGTGGTTGAAGAGGCAGGTCTTCAGGTGGAATTTAAAGATAGATGAGGAGTCAGGGGGTGGCAGAGGGAGAGTACTAGCTGAAGGTAAGGTGTGGCGGGATTGGTGACACATAGCAGATCTGTGTTAGCTGAGCAAAAAAGCAGCGGAGGAGTGGGATATGTGAAAGGATTTGTGAGGGTGGTGAAGTGGATTTGTTTGGAGCCAGGAAGCCAGGTGAGGTCTGGGGTGATGGATGTGCAGAATTTGGTATGGGACAGGACACTGGTGGCAAAATGTTACATTAGCTGGGCCTTATGGATGGTGGACTTTATGGATGTGAATTGCGGTTGTGCAATTGCCAGCAGAAGCTGTGTCTACGGTAACACTCTGTACTCTGCTTCTTTGTAGCTGAGGAGGAATGCAAGTGGAGGTTTTGAACTGGAAACTGAAGATAAACGTCTCTCTCCCTGAGCTTTGTTGTCATTAAGTATCACAACTTAGCCACTGCTACAGCCGGGTGGACAATTAACTAAACCCAGTTTGATGGCACTGGAGACCGTTGCCTGTGGAAAAATATAGCACAAGCAGGTGCCTTCAGGAGCTGAGCAGTGAAAATAATAATAATAATCCTTGCATTTTATATAGTGCTTTTCACGTCTTCTCAACGTCTCAAAATGAAGCAAATAGTGCTGAGACGCCAATGCAGTCCTGGTGGGGGTTACATTGTTAGAGGTGTTATCCTTTGGATGAGACGTTAAATCAAGATCCCATCTGCGTGTTCAGCTGGATGTTACAGATCCCATGATACTATTTGAAAAGAGAAGGGAGTTTCTTCCAGTTTCCTGGCCAACAATCCCCCGAAACAAAATTGGTCACTCACTCGCGGCTGTTTGTGGGACATTATTGTGCACAATTGGCAGCCGTGTTTCACCCACAAAATACACAGTCACTCCACACAGTATCCCGTGAAGCACTTTGAGACATCTCAAAGACTTGATAAGGCACTATATTGTAAATCACTATGTGATTTTGGAGTCCTGTACCCCAGTGGTTAGAGCAGGTGCCTCGCAAGTGAAAGACCTGGGTTTGATTCCCAGCTTAGACTATTTGAGTTCCAAGTCCCAACGTGAGGCTCAAACCCACAAGCCCTGTTGACTTATACAGACACTAATAATAATGATCTTGACTTGTGCTACTTAAGTGCTAGTTGCTTCTGTCACTGCATCTATTGGCTACAACATACTCAGAATTGACTCATTCTTAGAAATAGTAGTCATTCATCCTGTCTTCCTGTAGATTGTACTCCCTGCATACACTTTAATGAATACCAAAAGTTATGCTTTAACTTTTATTAGCCTAATATCCATTATGATATGATTCAACGCTCACTAAAAGGTCAGCAAGAGTAGATTCAGTTGATTGAAGCAAATTAATCATTGATTTACTCTGTATACAAACGGCATTTTCTTGCTTAAGTTTACAAATCATTATATTTAATACAAAGGGGTGATCTGATCTCAGATGGAATATAGTGGCATTTCCAGTCTTGTACGTTGCAATATAAATATATATTACATAATTTCCTGAGAAGCACTGAGTGTATGAGGAATGTGTCACTTGTGCCTAATCTGCTCGGAAACAGACAGGCAATGTGATCCTTCTCAGGCCCCAAAAGATAATTCTATGTGTATTGCAGCTATCAACATTAGGGCCAAATATACAGCAACTCAGAGTTGCAATTATTAGTCCTGTAGCTCAGTGGTTAGAGCACTGACCTCGCAAGCGAGAGAACCTGGGTTCAATTCCCAGATAGGGTGAAACGTTGGGCAAGTTTCCTTACTCCACACGCCTCTGTTTACTTAACAGTAGGTAGGAATTCAGTTTTTAGTCGATTGGCAGATCACTTTTCCGGGGGTAACAATCTAAAAAAAAATTGGTCACTTCAATCCACGACTGTGGTGGGACATTGCTGTGTGCAATTGGCTGTCACATTTCGCCCACAAAATATACAGACAATTCACTTTACAGTATATTCTGTGAAGCGCTTTGAGACGTCTTGAAGATGTGATAAGGCGCTATATCAAATGCAAGGATTATTATTATGGTTGCAACTTTGCTTTGGTAACTATGAATCGGACATGTTCGATCACATTGTGTGTAAACATCTATGATTTATAGAATTGAAAGTACTGGAAAGATCAAACTAATGCTTTGTTCAGGCTGCTTTTGCTTTCAGCAGTATACAGTAGCCATGTCGATCAGGTTTCATCCTTACTTTCTGCTCCAAGTTGCATTGCATCGCCATTATAAAATAAGTATCACCAGATTGTTGAGTTTCACAGAGCAACAAAATCAGGAACTGGTCTTTTAAAGTGGGGAATCAATTCTTTTGTAACATTTTCAAAAAATTGTTGAAAAGTTTGGGCAGATAGTGAGCTGCCTAAGAGCTTTCAGCAGACACAGAGGAGACAGTCCAGTATAAAGTACATTACAATAAGCCTGTTCTTCATCTTTGAATATCAACGAATAGAATATTCATTACAATTCATTACGTTCATAAACATACTCAAGCATCACAAAGCCACGTAAACATACACAAAATCATATATTTGGTGACCAACTCGTAATATTTTGATATTGTCACCTACTCTGTCAGAATATCACCAAGTCTGCAAGTCACCCAATTTGTATTATTATAGTCCATTAAATGGGTGTCCTGGCCAACAATCCTCCAGATAAAATCTTAATAATAATCTCTGCATTTCATAGGAAACCTTATCACATTGTTGAGACGTCTCAAAGTGCTTCAAAAGATGTACTGTAAAGTGGGTTGACTATATTTTGTGATCTTGTGAAAGTAATTTTCAAACTGAACTATCCAGTTGTTCGAACACCCAGACTCTTAACAGCCAGAGGCTTACTGCTGAGTGATGGTATATGACTATAGCATGAGGAGAAGGTAAATGGAGTTGCCATAACTACCAGCAGGTCCGAGTGGCACGATAAGTGCGGGCTGAAATCTGATCTTCAGGCTATTACAGGCTTCTGAAAGCTCAATTAAAAATGCTTTTTAGCGCCACTCTCAGAGACAGAGCAGCCACATACATTATAGTGCACACAAGAGACAAGATGTGAATGACCTGGAATCAGGAATCCAGTACATTTATTGTCGGTTCAACGCAACATTAATGTTCCTTTTTAAAGAAGGTTTTAACCCAATAAAGGCCATGAAGGAAGACACAAATTCACATGGATTCACAGGGAAACATCTGAGTGTTTCCATTTGGGTAAAAGGTGATAATGAGGAGAATGGAAACAAAAATATATCGGGAAGATTGAAAAAACACAAGCAAAAATATTTAGTTTTATTTAGAATTTGTTTAGAATCCATGTTCTGGGTGCTGGACAGCAAAGCAGTGTACGATGGACTGAATGGCTTCAGATCCACGTCTGCTTTCCCACAACCCTACATCTGCCGCCATCCATGTGTTCAGCTGTGTGATTATGGGGTCAGATGGGGGGAGAACACAGAACATTTCCCCAGCAAAAGGAACCAGAGGTGAAATCAATGCAGAGTAAGTCACCTCAGGCTTTTCTCCTCTGAAGTACTCTAAAGATTGGTTTCAGAGCACTCTGTGAAATCCTGCCCGCCCAGTCACACAAAGGGGCCTGACACAGGAAAATTCTTAAAGAAATTTCTCGTTAGCAACCCGGAAAGCACAAGAAAAAGAGGAAGAAGCTATATTTAAATTTCGCAAAGTTACTAGAATGTAAGCAAGTATGTTGTACTTAAAGACGGTAACAATTAAAGTAATAAAAGGCAAATGGCGAATGGAGAAGGGAAGGCTAGGTAAAAATGTTTAAAAGATTATGGAGTGAGATTAGTAGAGTTTCGTAACAAAGTCAATAGAAAAGTAGAGCAAAGAAGAAACCATTGTGTTTTTAGCAGTTAAACAATCCCATCAGGTATAAAAACAACTACTGCAACTATCAATAAAAATTCAAGTAACAATTGGTGAAATATGAATTAATCATTATGTTTGGGCCTGGATTAAGCATGTCATAAAATATATTTCTGGGCTGGGAAGATTGTGTTTTTTCTTTGGCTGATCAAGCCCATGTACAGTCTTGTTATAAGGTACCACAGGTTCAGTTACTTATAACGTAATAACAGAATGGATCCATAAAGTGAGCAGAGCTAGGGCTCTGCAAAATCAGTGGTGATCCTATAAACCCCTGAAGTAATCATAAGTGGCCCCAATGTAACGCACCCTGTTTACAACGAGGTTTCATTTCAAGGATCTCAATTCCTGTGTTATAACCATTTATGCCATATAAAACAACAAAATCAATTCTGGTGAAT